CCTCAGACTATGCAGATTAGACTTGATGTTATGTATTGTCTCAGGGTTTCTGTTACTGTGAAGAGACATCATAACCATGGCAACTCTTACAAAGGAAAACATTTAGTTGGGGTGGCTCACTTACAGTTCAGTAGTTCCGTCCATTATCATCACAGAGGGACGTGGTAGCATGCAGGGAGATGTGGTGCTGGAGAAATAGCTGAAAGTCCTACATCTTGCGGGCAACAAGAAGTAGACTGTCTCACTGGACATGGTTTGAGCATATCTGAGACCTCAAAGTCTGGCTCCACGGTGACATGTCTCCAACAAGGCCACACCTCTTAGTAGTGCCACTTCCTTCGGGAGCCATTTTCTTTCAAACCACCACATGTACTAATACTTTCTCCTTGCATTTTCTACTGTAGGAAGTGAACTAGCCTATTCCAAAGTTGGTTCACTACATACCATAAGAAAGATTCTCCAACCATCCAGCTTAAGTTGAGGAGCCAGCTCCAACCAGGGACTAGTGTGTCAGTGTATTTGTTCTCTGTTGATTCTAAATCATTTTAATTAGCATATATTAAAATATACAATAATGTGTTTTATTGTGACTTTTTCATGTTGTTATTTTGTCTCCCCCCACCCCCCCGAAGAGCTGAGGAGCGAAGCCAGGGCCTTGTCCTTGCTAGGCAAGTGCTCTACCACTGAGCTAAATCTGCAACCCCTTATCTTGTATATGATTCATTTCCATCATATTTCAGTCTAATGAGTCCTCTTTCTACTTTCACATCATTGTAAATCAATAAATTTCATTAGAATTGCCTGCAGAAGCATGGGTGGAGTTACATATAAGAGCATAAACAACTAACCAGTGGCTACACCACTGAAGAAAATGTCTTTTCCTCCCCCTGCAGCCATTAACCTCCCATAAATACACAGGGAATAGTGAGGCCTCCTTAGTTCCTTTTTAAAAACCCTCTCTGAGGATTCTAGAGCATTTTGAAGAAATGTGGTAACTAGGGGTTTCACAAACTTCATTAGAATCCTCTCTCTACAGAAGGCACCATTCAATCATTTGTGGTTTTCAGATTTACTTTTCAATCTTAAAACACTCATTTTTATTTTTAATATTTCTACTAATTCTTTGTCAATAATTTTTATCCTATTAACCCCCCCCCTCTACTCCTCCAATATCAACCCCTATTCCATTCCCACCCAACTTTGTATTCTCATTTTTTTAAACCCATCACATTTGTGCTGTCAATCTACCTTTAGGTATGTGGACATTTGTTGGAGCACAGTCAATCTTCCAGAAGTCATGCCACTAAAGAGAACTAACTCTTCCGTTCCGAGCAGCTATCAAATTTCAGCAGCCCCTTAGCTAAGGATGGGATTCTTCTGTGTCAACATCTCCTCTCCATTCTGAGATTTTATCTCTCTTCATTTTTCACAAATCTTGTGCATGCTGTCACAACTGCTTAGAACTCATATATGCAACTAACTTGTCATGTCTAGAAGATACTATTTCCTTGCAGTTATCCACCAAGCTTGGCTCTTACAATCTTTCTGCCCTCTCTTCTACAATGATCCCTGAGCCTTGGATGGAAGGGATATGATATAGATGTTCAGTTTAGGGCTGAGCATTCCAAAGTCTCCCATTTGCTGCACCTTGGCCAGTCATGGGTTTCTGTGTTGAGTATCATCTACTACAGAAAGAAGCTTCTTTGATGAAATTTGGGAGACGCACTAATCCATGGGAACACAATAAGCCACTAGGAGTTGGTTTAATACTATGTCCGCTTAGCAGAGTAATGGTAGTTTTTTCCTTAGAACCTAGGGCCTCTCTAGCCACAGGTTTTTGGCTTCAAAAACCAGAAATAGGCTCCATCTTATGGAACAGGCCTTAAATACAACCATAAAATAGAAAGTTACTCCCAGGACATTCATGTCACTACTGTACAGGGGACACCTCAGGCTGACAGTTACTGGAGCTTTTGGAGTTCACAGCTGTATAAGACTGATAATGACTTTTCTCCTCCAGCAACATACATAGTACATTTTAGCACTATGAAAATAGGAAGGAAGCTCCCAGGCTAGAACCAGCTTGCTCTCTCCAGGTTCTACAACTTGAATATGTAGTGTCTTCAGCAATAAATTCTTACCATCAAGTTCTAAAAGATAATCAAAACAAATGAGAATAGCCTGTAGTATTTGGGGTTCTATGGGACCTCGTTGCCAACAACCCCAATAGAGATCATCCATTCATGAGACTGGGGTTTCTGTTTGTTAGTCAGTGATATCTAGCTAAGGCATTACTGCCCCATTACAATTAATTTCACTTAAGCTCTTTCTACATATGCTTGTATTTTGAGAAGTGTTGACATAGCAGATTCTCATAAGTTTGTCAGACTGCCATTAGTGTTAACTATCCCTCCCTGTATTCCCTCTTCTACCCTGCCCTATCACTCCCATTTAATTCTTCCTGTTCCATCATTCCCCTTTATACAGAAACAATTTTTAAAACAAGTATTATTACCCAGTGCTGGTGGCGGCACACGGCTTTAGTCCCAGCACTCGAGAGGCAGAGGCAGGCGGTTCTCTATGAGTTCCCGGGCAGCTTGGTCTCCAGAGGTAGTTCCAGAATGGGCTCCAAAGCAACACAAAGAAACCCTGTCTAGAAAAACAAACAAACAAACAAAAGCAAACAAAAGAACAAGTATGATTTTATATCACTGTATTAAAGTATTCTCTAGTTTATTTCAACTGAACTTTTATTAAGATGGCATTAAAGCCACCCACAGCATGTCTCATTTATACACAAAAAAAAATTAGAAAGGGCAGTGTTCTTTAAAAATAAATTCTTGTTCATCGCCTCTTTGCCCATTCATAGACTGACAACCTGCAGTGGGTAAACAGACAGGCTGTCTCCTCCACTCCCAGAGGTTCTTTCAATGATCAGCCTAAGCAAAGTAAAAGCAAGCTAGCCACACAGGATTTGTGAGCCCTGAAAATCTGAAACAGGATAGTTGCTGTTTTGTCTCCTTGGCTGCCATCTAGTGGTGAGTGATATGGCATTGACTGGAAACATTCAGAAGAGAGGAGACTATGAAACCAAAACAAAAAATACAGTTTGCTAAGGAAACCTTAGCTCCAGACAAAAGGCCACTGTCCTCTGTGGTAACTCTTTTGTGGTCCATGTTATTTATCCATAAAAATAAATATGAGTTGGTCATCCAAAACTGATGTGATACTAATACTGTATACTTAGACTAAGACCAGGAATGGTCTTTGCCTTCTGTGGAGTAAAAACATGAGCGCTAACAACAAGTTAGGTGATAAGTGCTTCAAAGAATAATAGACTATTTATGGCAGGAGAGGGGGAGAGAGAGAGACTGTTGATCAGGTATGTATCATTGACCAGTCTAAAGTGAGGCTTGAATGATGAGTGGATGCCTTCCAGACAGGTGTCTGTTGAGGACCACAGAGAAGCTGTCTCAGGGAAATTTCAGAGACTCATTCATGAAGGACTTTCTAGGACTTTATTAGCTTATTATTGTAACAAAAAATTTAAATACCTCAGCAGCATACACTGACCAGCACTTATTTGTCATTTGGCTTCATAGTTGAACACAGATAACTTCTCTACCTGTCTCTCATCTTTCCCTGGGAATAGCCAAGGATTGGTGGGGTTTTTGAGGAAAAAAAATCTACAGTACAAATATAGCAAATCCATGTAAATGTACACATTGACCTCTGTAATTTTTCACTCACTCTAGCTTTAAAAGTTAATATTTAGATAACACATGAAAATACCAAACAGCTGAATTGATTCCTAAGTCCTTCCAAATAACCTCTTAACCCAAGGCCAGCCATCTTCTATTCTCACTATTTATGATTTTTGCATTAAAAGCAAACAAGGATGTTCTATCAGACATTAACCCTTCATCCTGCCCTGCATCATTTTGGAGTTTGAGAAAGTGGCACAACGGCTCTCACATAAGGCAGTAAAAGTTTGTGGTTACAAATATGGAACTTAGTACAAGTGCAAAGCCCTACTCTGCCATTTAAAACTATAGGCCTTAGACCAGTGGTTCTCAACCCTCTGGAGTCGAATGACCCTTTTGTAGGGGTCACATATCAGTTCTCCTAACTATTATATAGATTTATGTCATGACTCATAACAGTAGCAAAATAACAGTTACGAAGTAGCAACAAAATAATTTTATGGTGGGAGGGCAGGTCACCACAATATGAGAAACTGTATTAAAGGGTCGCAGCATTAGGAAAGTTGAGAACCACTGCCTTAGTTTACCAAATCATCTGTGCCACAGTTGCCTGACTCACCACATGAAAAAACTGTAGTAGTTCTCCATAGCAGTCTTGTGAGAATTAAATGACCTCTGACTAAAAATAACATCAGAAAAATATTAGACACAAAAACAGGGCTCAGTAATTGTCAACTACCAGTAATGTGTCCAGAAATCACAAATATTTCACACAGGACTGCCAGTTACTTCACAACCCAAACAGTGCTAAAACATCTGACAGTTCAAAATTCAAGCCCCCAAAGATAATGAGACCTCTAGCACCATGCCAGTATTCTGTTTTAACCTTAGCAGACTCAGGTCTAAACAACTGGTGAGTGGCTGTTAATTTCATCTAGCAGAGTTCAGTCTTTGCCTAGTGATGAAACTTCAGTGTCACTAGACACTTGTCTATAGCACAGACTTCCAAGTTCTCTCCGGCAGGCAAAGAAAAGCTTGAAAGAGCCTTAAACTGACTCAGCCAGTTTGTACAGACAGAGCTAGTCATCCAACCAGAGCTAAACTTTAGTAGAAAACAAACCTCCGAATCTGCCAGGTGTTCTCTGGCTCCAACCTTGCTTTCTCAAAGTCCAGGTCTGAGTATAAATCTAAAAAGTAAAAAATAAACAAATAACTCTGACACCCTGTCAAGAAACAAAAAGAGGAAGACAAACAGAAGCTCTCATAACTCAGTTTCTCTTTTCACTTTATTTAAAGATGTGCAAAGCCTAGAGAAGCTCCTGAGGGAATCTATCATCAATGGCCAGCCTCGCACAGGCCGAGCTTGGAAAAAGATTCTCATCGTGGTGGAGGGCATCTACAGGTATGTGAAGAACCAGAGACATTTGGCACTCAGAGGCTCACAGCAAGCCGCCCAATGGAGAAAAGATGACCTTTCTGGCTAAAGAATAAAGGACATTCTTATAGATGCTATGGAGGAACACAAGAAAGGGCTATCTACAGAAGTGGTCAGATTTGGGGTATCCTGTTTTTCTACAGCTCTGTGCATCTGCTAGAGAAGTCTTTCTTAGAAATGTCCTTATTGCTGATCTGATTCCTTCCAATGCTCTAGCATTTTCAAAGATCTATTGTGCCTTGGTTATTCAACATCAGGATGTCCCGAGACACATCTGTCACAGATGTTTCAGTGGGCTGCCGCCCCAATCCCCCTAGGTGGACAATGAACCCAAGCATCTACTTCAGTCATTAATCAAGGAGCTAAATGACTGGCATCAGAATTCAGGGTCCTAACCTCAAGGGAAATCCTTCCTCCAGAGTGGGGACAGTGTATGCTGACTTTGCATTTGCTGATACTTTCAGGATTGTTTTCCTGCTGTCTTTAAGCTGAGCAGGAAAGTCATTCCCCTAAGTCATTCAGAGCAGAACTTTTATATCACTGGCTGTGATTGAATTTGCTTCATTCTCTTTCTAAATCCATTACTGTGGCTCAAGTGGAAATTGCATCCAAGTATTTGTTCTGTTTACACCCTACTCTGTAAGCCAAGGAAACACTTTCTGAGTGTCTCTTTTTAAATCGATTCCCAAACAACTGTTACAGCAGAGGAACCTGGGCTCTACCCCCCTATGAGCTTCTGATAGATATGTGCAATATAAAGGGAGGAAGTGAAGGCTGAGAAAACCCCAAGCAAGAGTATGGTTGCAAAGGAGACATGAGGACAATAGCGTGGTGAGCCCTCCCTCTGCAGCTCATCCTCATCTGTAGGAAGAGCAGGCATTGCTGCATAGAAAATTTATTGTTTCCTAATTTGAAACCTCTTCAAATGAAAACAAATAAGATTATGAAGATATTATCTTCATCAATCATAAACAATCACCATATGTCATGAGTCAGTATTGAGTTACAAAGGAAATGTGCCCTATCCCTTTTTGCCGGTGGGGGAGTGGGTGGGTGTGTGGGTTGTGAATTCTTCCAAGTGGAAGATAATATAAAAACCAGAGTCATTTTTTTTATTTTAAATTATTAGAGTTCTGTAGTTGCAAAAATGGTACTTTATACTACAATGCTTTCGACACCTATATCATTATTTCCTAAGGTCAATTCCAGTGGTGTGCAGTGCTTATGAAGTCTCTAAAACAGTGATTTTTGCCTTGTCTCCAACCAGAGAGCATTTGGCAGGTGTTAGTGGCCACACATGTAGTAGCTTACTGTTGACATCTAGTGGGGAGAAGCTGGGAATGCTCCTGAAAGTCTGCAAAGCAAAAGGCATTCAGAAGAATTCTGTAGTTTAATATAGCAGTAGTGCCAAGGCTGAGAATGCCCTATTCTAGGATAGTTAGCTACTCACTGGCTCTAAACTTTAACTTTTAGGAAATAATCTCATATTGAGCCTGTGCTGCCATAACCTTAAGTGCCAAGCTTTCTCCCTATGTGGTTTATAGCAGCTGCCAGCCTGGGAGGGATACAAGCAACCCTTATCTAAACACCAGTCATCCAGGCTTGGACTCATGGTAGGATGAATTGGCTGAGGGAAGGTAGACTGGGCATCTCCTTCAGCCAGCATCAAAAGAACACAATTTCAAACAAACAGAACTTATCTCCACTAAAAGAAAGTTACATTTTTAAGTGCTTGGATTATGGCTAAAATTAGAGGTCCATCAGTGTTTTACTGGCAAATATCCCCATCAGAAACAGCTATAGCAGCCGTATTAACTAAGGGTTAGGCTAGTTTTATCTCATCCTGTGACAGAGAGGGGAGGGATGCAGGTAAAGACTTCTGGCCCTAAGCCAACAAGGCCCTAAACCACAATTTAGCAATGGTAACTCTCAGTTTATTGCTGCTATGTAGGAAACCACTCCAAAGAATAAAGATTTCCTGTGACCATTTCTTACTTTTCTTGGTCCTGTGAGTTAGGTCTGCAGCCACACACAGTATTAATTGAGCTCATTCACAAGACCGCAGTCAGTCAAGAATTCGAGTAGGAATGGAACATACAAAATTACCTCATTCACACATTTAGCACTGGCTTTTGGGAGGGGACTGGGGTGCTTCTTTCTCATTCACATGAATCCTATTTTATTTTATGGACACCAATGCCAAGATTTCTGTTATCTGGTGTTGATATGACAACATTTAGTCATCTACTCAGATCTTCCTTACAGCATGGCCCAGAAATTGCCATTGTTTTATGATAGTGGCCTAGAACTGATTCTGTGCCCTGTTGGCCAAACCCACTACAGAGTCTGGATTCCAGGAAAAGAGATTACACTTTAACTCTTGAAGGGAAGATGAAATTGTGTGCACTGCAATGGGAACTCACATGCATCAATCTTTATATCAGTCTATTGCAGACTATTCAACCTAGTATGGGCACAGGACAAAGTTTCCATGTCATGAACTTGCTGCCACAAAAGCCTCCACATGATAATTATGTCACCCCAACAGCCTCCATCCCACAGGCAGCCTCTGATCCTCCTTCATAAACTAAGACTAGCCTAACATAAGTCTTGAGCAAAATTCCAGTTGGAAAGCCTTCACTTGAGCATGCCAATGTAGAACTATCACCAGAAGACGAAATTGCTTTCCATAGGATTTTCCAAAGTGTCAGGGCTGGGAATGTGAGATCAATAGTTCCCAAGTCAACTTCTGGTCTTGAGAAGTCACATATCAGACACATAACTGGTTGGTAGCTGCCCAAAGTCTATTTTGCATTTTAACTCCTAGGGTTGTTGTTGTTATTGTTTCTGGTGTTGTTTTTGTTTTGTCTCTCACTTGTCTGCCCCACAGGTAAAGTACCCCACCACATATTGCTCACCCACAACAATTTTTTTCATAACTCTTAAAGAGAAAAGTTAAGTTTACAAGTCAGAATGTTTCAAGTAGGGTCAAAACGGAAATGCTTAGGTGACTATATTAAGAATCCAGAATATTTCATAAAATTAGCAACAATCAATAATAATTATTATTGCCATATCCGTAGATGTTCTTATTTATGTAGACAATATAGAGGAGTTAGGGTTTGGATCTGGATCTGGATCCGGGACCTGGATTCAAATCCTGGTATTTGGTCCCCATAGTTTTGTACCCTCCCCAAAACGTATATGCAAGTATTAAGAGAGACCATATTAGCCAGTGTCTGGCAGAGGCAAAGGCCATAGACTGCACACAACAAAGAGTAACTATCTTCATAATCTCATTTTTTCAGTTGAAGAGATTTCAAGTTGGAAAGCAATAAAGTGTCTATGAGGCAAAATTGTTTGCTCTTTACACAGAAAAGGAAGGGTTACAGAGTGAGGACTCATTTTGTCCATGTGTTTACTCCTTGCTCTAAGTGCACAATATTGCACAAGCCTTCTTTGATTATTCTAAAGATGAAGAAACCGGCTCCGGGGCCTACATAATTGCCCTGCGGCAGAAAAATAAAATGAAGCAGAACTGGCATTAAAAATCAGGTGGACCAGGCTGGTGAAACCCACAGAAACAGCTGACCTGAACATCGAGGAACTCTTGCTCCTCAGACTGATAGCTGGGATTCCAGCATGGGACTGAACCAGACCACAGAACATGGGTTTCAGTGAGGAAACCTTGGAAATCTTCGGGACCTGCTGTAGTAGTTCAGTACTTATGCCTAGCATAGGTGTGGGCTCTGGGAGCCCATTCCACATAGAGGAATACTCCCTGAGCCAAACACACGGGGGACGGGGGAGGGGCTAGGCCCTATCCTAAAGGATACGATAGACTCTGATGATACCCTATGGAAGGCCTCACCATCTAGGGGGAGCAGAAAGGATATGTAATATGTAGGGTTTTAGTTGGGGGGGGGATGGTAGGGGAGGACAGGAGGGAGAAGGGAACTGGGAGTGTCATGTAAAACAATCTTGTTTCTAATTCAAATTAAAAACAAATCTGGGAAAGAAAAAATAAAATCAGGTGGCCCTGGTACAGCAAAGGTTCAATGTAGACAGCAGAGGCAGCCTATCTGTTGGCATCTAGTTTGTAAACACTGAAAGTACAAAGTAGCTGTGACTTAAAGGAATTCTACCTAGGCTTCAATTTCTCCATCTGTAAGATAAAGGGATTAAAAATTCAAGTCTAAATGCCCATGAATATACGATTTAGGGTCTAAAATCAACTAGTATTATTTAAAGGTTCTATTCTAATTTCCTAATATTATGTTAAACACATATTACTGTGGGTTGGAGAATATCCCTCCAATCCTAACTGTAGCAGAAGTCTGGAATCTTCCCAAAGGAGAATTTACACCAGAACAGAGATAACACAAGCAAGTAGTAAAGGTTTATTTCAGCCAGTGAGAAAGCAAAAGGGAAGTACATCCTCTTGGCTTAAGCAGAGCTGAACCAAAAGGTCTCTAGCATCTGGACTCATAAGTCTTACTCTACCACCCGTGGGACAGTCTTGGATAGTCTCCTTCCTGGAATAATGGAGATTTCCTCAGAAGTCATCCTTACCCATAATTCAGTCTATTACAATTAGACACATTACACACAGAATATGTTTTTAAAAACATAACTACACATAGAGTTGAAGTTACTAAGCAAACACAGGAACCTTGTGTTATTGGACCTGACTAGCTAGAGCCTGCCAAGACTAGCCTCCATGTTTTGTTTTATTTTTTTTTTCCCTCTGAGACCTGTCCTTCTTCCTCTTATCTGGCCAAGGTGGCTATCTCATACCCAGCTGAAAGTCCTCTTACTTCGACTTTGTTCTTTTAGCGCTAAAAATCATTTAACCCTAACATTTGTTTTAACTACAGCATTATTTTTGTAGTATCTGAGAACAGATTCCTTATCAATTCATAATGGTTAAGAAATCTCAAAGTGATTCAAAAACATGCTGCTGGTAAACATGGCACAGGTAACTTGGGACAAAAACTAGCATAGTTGGAGCCAAAACTTTCAGAATTAAAATAATTCAATATTATGAGCCAGCCTTCCCAAATTATACATACAAGCATATGATGAATTGACAGAATGTCTTGAGTAAGAATAGACTAAGAACCCTTCTCCCTCAAACTGTGAAAACGTAAGAATAGCTTCAGAGGTAAACTTTTCCAATCCTCTACAATTTCAAGATGTAACGCAAAGAATATGATGAGTTTTGTCTTAACCCCTCTCTCCTCATTCTTTTTTTTTCTTTTATCTCAGTCTTTGTCTCTTCTCCACCCCTTTCCTTGTCTCTATACCCCCCCTGCCTTTCCTGTCTTCTCTTGGGTTAAACCTTGGGCCTGCCAAGTAGAGTTTTCCATCATACAAGTATCCTGAAATGTGGCTTAATTTTTGTTTTCCATGTGGAGAGGAGAATGATGAGAGGAAGATTTCAAAAGGAAGTCTTAACAATCAGCCAGTGCATTATACAATAAAAAATAAAGTAATTTACTGACTGGTGGGTTAAATAATAATTCAAGTCCCTAGACAGAGCCTCAGATTAGCTGATGACATTATTTTTACTTATAGCTGTATTTTATTTCTTTTTCTTCTATTAAAGTCAAAAGAAAAGCAAAACCTTTCAGTCAGGAAAAAATAACAACATGCCATGTGTTTTTCTTTATTGCTTTTGGTCTTGATGGTTTTGACAGAGACTAATGATGATAACATAAATAACCATCTTATACTTTGAGCCAGACTCATTATTCCACTATAGCAAAAGGTTCTATGCAAATTCAATAATACTGAAAAAAATGAAAACATGGATGAATATAAGTATATAAAAGCTGAGTTCTCTCTAGGATTCTATGTGTGCCTGGCATTAACTCCAAAAATCAGCAGTATTGCAGAGTCATTAATCTTGGAGGAAGAAATACAAACCAGGTGGTCAGGTGCTTACATCAGCTAGAACGGCCCATGGAAAGATGGCTAATTGGCTGTGTAGACTGTCTACAAACACTGTTCAATGTTAACTTTGCCTCCTGCCAAATTCAGTTCCAGAAACAGGAAGGGCTATTTGTGTCATGTCAGGTTTCTCATATTTTTGTGTTACCAATGTACAGCATTTTAAAGACAAGAAAAAAATCTAAGAATTCTGAGGGTTTGAAGCCATTCGTCATGTTCGAACCTCGAAATGGTATTCACATGCCTTCATTTTAGAAGATTCAACACAGAACTTTTCTCAAGTCAGTTTTCAGTGAAACTTCCTCCTTCCAAGTTCACTGAGTGCCTGGGATGGTATGACAATTGACAAGCATGAGTGCTAGTCATTCACTATAAAGATTCTGTGAGGAAGACATGAGAATGAAGCATAAAATAAATGATAACATCATATAGGCTGCCCAAGTCCCAATTTAGAAAGTGCTGTGGTTACAAGAAAAGCACAAAGTAGGCAGACAGTAACATTGCCTCCTCTTCCTCAGTGGAGACAACTTTAATAAACAAGAAATTTAAAGTAGTTCTGAAATTAACTCACAAGCATGCATAAGAGAAGGCCATTTGGTCTTCCATTAAAATCAGAACTTGGCCATCCAAATGACCTTGTGAAATACCCATGGGCTGTGTCATTGGTGGATAAATTCAGCTCCTTTGGTCTGGGTAGCTGTGACTCTCAATGGACTGTTTTGACTGAATTGACATAACACTTAAGCTTATTTTTTAATGTATTATATACAATCTAATACCTAACAGGGGAGGATAGAGAAGTTCACTGCTCTTCAAATGATTGGTCTTTAACTAAAGCAAAGGGTTGCTTGAGTTGTTTGACAAGCTGCATTGTGCTGTGAACATGAGTCTGTTTTCTTAGAGTCAGACTATCTGTACAGTCCAAGCTGTGCAGTGCAAAAGCTTCCAAGTGTTCTGAGAGCCAAACAGAGTAAACTTTTTTTAAAAACCCAATGAGATCTAGACTCATGTATCATGTAAATGTAAAATTTTATTTTATTTTGGCTTTATATTTACCCTTCTCTAAGGACTTGAAACGTTTTACAATTTGCAATGCCATGAAAAATAAAACACTTAGACACTCTCTTGATCACTACACACACTAAAATTGGAATGACAGAGATTAACATGACCCTGGGCAAGCACGACATGAGGATATGTGAAAACACATAGAATATACAACACAGAGTAAACGTTAAACTGGAGGTTTTAGTTAATATATCAAAAATGGTTCATCAAATTTCAATAAATGGCCCACATTAGTGGGTGGTATTGTTGTCAGGAGAAACTTGCTAAGACTGGGGATACGAGAATCCTCAGTACTGTTTTCTCAGTTGCTATTCAAATCTAAAGCTATTATTACAACCTCTGTCCATTTAAAGATTTTTTTTTAGAGAAACTGAAATCTAAAACCTGAAAAACTAAAACAAATACTCAAAGAGCAAAAGGATTAGTTAGTAGTGGTAATTCTAAAGTGCAGTCCTTAGCTACTGGTGTGAACTTATCTTGGAAGTTTCTATATATTGATGACCTCCTCCCCAACCTGGCACCTCTGGAGACCCTGTGGGAAGAACCCAGAAATCTGTGCCTTGCAGTTGGATGTTTTGTGTCCTGCCCATCAGTTCCTGCAGACACTTATAAAATAACACTCTTAGGCTTAATATTAATTATAATTGTTTGGCCAATGTCTGCAGCATATTACTATCTCTCAGATTTAAATTAACCCATTTCTATTAATCTGTGTATTGTCATGAGGCTGTGGCTTACCAGTGATGCTAGGGTGTCTTTCTCCTTTGGCATCTCCTTGACTTCACCTTCTTTCTTTCGTTCTGTGTCTCTGTTTGGATTTCCTGACTGTCTCTATCTGGCCATTGGCCAAATAAGCTTCTTTATTAACAAATGGTAATAACACATATTCACAGCATACAGAGGGGCATCCTTCTGTATATGCAATTTTACTAAGTTATATATAATTTTACTATGTTAAAGTTAAAACCTTTTTTAATTAGACAGAAAGAGGGAGATGATGAGAGATTCCCTTCTGTGTGCTGCAAGTATTTGTTGCTTTTATTGGTTGATGCATAAATCTGTTCTGGCCTATGGCAGGTCAGAATATAACAAGATGGGAAATCCAAACAGATATAAAGTGAAAGAAGGCAGAGTCAGGGAGATGCCATGTAGCCACCAAAGAAGTGAGATGTCAGAACTTTACCAATAAACCATGTGGTGATACATAGATTAGTTATTCAGCAATATGCATGAGCCTTTGGCCAAACAATTACAATTACTATCAAGACTCTGAGTGTTTATTTGGGAACTTGTGGACACCAGAGAAACCTCCATTTACAGTGCCTTAAACCTATCAGGAGTTTTAAGGCTTGATCAACTTCTGTCCAAACACTCTGAAGAAATAGAAAGACAGGATACCACCTGTGTAGCCTCACATAAGACTGACTTGTGATGATTGCTGAGCAGGCATGCTAAGGGATATTCTATTGTGTGATAATTAATACTATGATGTCTGAAGTTCTATGGATTTTTTAGTTACCCAGTTTAATCTTTAACAGTTCAAATGCTAAATCTAGATCTGGCCATCATGGTCAAAGAAACAACAGATCAAGGTGGCTCAGAGAGGCACACGTTTATTAAAAGCAGCAGAATATCTATCCCCAAAGCATTGCTCTATCTGCAATAACCAGCTTTCCAAAGAAATTAGATCAACACTACGGTAAGCTTATTTTTGAGTTGAAAACTAAAGATAGCAACCCAATCTACTCAATCCACCAAATATAAAGGATTTTATTCAAGTAGTATGGACATGCAGAGAAGGCTTACGAGATTGGAATGTTACCATTGCTGAATAAAATATGCCATTAAAAAAGTGACAGATCCTTGTCAGCAGCCTGACAGTGACAGGGCAGGCTTTCTAGGAAGCACTGGAAGAAAACTAACAGAGATTCCAGAAGGCTATTCATTACTCACCAAGAATTTTTTTCCTTATGTGCAAGCATGGAAGGTTCCATTGTGAATCTGCCCCAGATAGTGGCTCTAAAGAAGAAATACAAGGCTTACCTCTACATCGACGAAGCTCACAGTATTGGTGCTACGGGCTCCAACTGCCAAGGTGTCAGAGACTTATTTGGACTGGCCCCTGAAGATGTGGATGTATACATGGGAACATTCACCAAAAGCTTTGCAGCCTCTGGAGGCTATATAGCTGGGAAAAAGGTAAGAAAGGAACTCCTAGTGTTTGTGTAGATCCTGAACACCCTAGGGAAGCAGGAAGTAGGGCTTCTCTGAATTCCTTGTAAATTTCAGTTTGGATAACCAATAACATGACGTAAAGATGAGTGTGGAAAGAATAATCACATCCCAACAAAATAAAAACAGCAAGGGCACAATGTGTAGGGCGTCTGGGAGAGAAGTCACTCTGATGGACTATAACTGGGATATTCTATGGAATGACCATCAATCAATCTTGTAGACAATCAGTGGGAGATGCAATTTCACAAACAGATAATAGCATATACCAAGCCACAGGAAGTGGGGTGGGGAGATGGCCCAGTAGTTAAGAATACTGGTTGCTTTTGGGGTTCAATTCCTAGCAGCCCATGGTGGCTCACTACCATCTGTAACTCCAGTCATAGAGATCTGAAGCCTCAGCTGGCACTGCACAAATATGGTACACAGACAGACATGCAGGCAAGATATGCAAACAATTTTTTATTCAAAACTTAAACAATTAGGTGTGTGTGTGTGTGTGTGTGTGTGTGTGTGTGTGTGTGTGTGATTAATAGCAATAATAGGAAAAGTTTATGTACTAAAGAAGCTGGCATCATAGATTTTACATCTATGATGTAAACAACATCTAAACAACAGCAGAATAAAAATGGACTTCTAAGATTACTTTTCTGAGAAATAACTCGTTTCTATTAATGTTAGATAACCCATCTTCTATATTCTAGAAATATTTGAAAATTTGGGTCAGGTGACATTACACTGTTTAATGAGCACTGGTCCGACTGTCTTATGCTTATATTATCAATGATTTGGTAATGAAAAATAAAATAATAAGCAACTGGAAGAAATTTTAAAGAAGAAGGGAGAGGAGGAGAAAAAAATCAAATATTCAGATCTACATCTAAGGGTCAAAGAAGCTGTCCTCTGTCCATTTACATGTACCTTTCAAAAACCATGGCAGTTGTCTCATGCAAGCCTACATTTCTCCCAAAGAGACTGTGGTATAGCTCCAACTAGTAGAGCACTGTAGGCCCCAAATTAGTGAATGGGGGGTGTTATCAAAATGTTATCGAGGCCAGGTGGTAGTGGCCCAAGTCCTTAATCCTAGAACTCACTCAGGAGGCAGAAGCAGGTGGATCTCCAGGAGTTTAGAGACCAGCCTGGTCTACAGAGTGAGTTCTAGGACAGCCAAGGCTACACAGAGAAACCCCATCTTGAAAAACCAGGGGAGGATCAGGAGCTATATCTAAAGTTTCCAGTTCCTTATCCACTCTGTCCAGCAGGAACAAAAGTTCAGCCTACTGGGCAACCAGTTAGACCAATTGGGGTATGTAGCAAACAGCTACTCTCATTAAAAGCCAGTGGTTTAAAACAACAAGCTGCCTCTTGGCCACTTACCATGAGACATAGGGGCCTAAACTCCTGTTTTAAGTGATCTTTGCCCTCCTTTAACTGCTGCTTTCTCCCATACTCAATGCGCTGTATTTCATCCTCCCTCTAGTGCCTATGGGGATGAACTAGGTAATGCTAGAAACAGAGGGAATGCCAGGCCCTCAAAGACTTCAGCAAAGTCTAGTGAAAGGTTAATATTTCCTTCCTAACTGTCACATCAGCGGGATCAGGGGGTCTCGGGGTTAGGAGCTGTCTGATCCGGATTACCTTGCTTTGTGAGGCCTTGATTGCTTTAGCAGCAGTTCTGAGCCACAAAACTTTTAACCAAGCGTAACTCTGTTTCCTGAACCAAAGGCACCTGAATAAACTGAAGCAGGCAGATCCTTGAGATGTTGTCAAATTTGTTGGATGTCACATTTTTCTCCTTGGAGTGCCTTCATTTGATACCTACTTTAAACAAAAGCCTGGGACTAGCAGCAGGAGGGACAGTTCCCTGGGATCCTGTCACATGTTTTCCGTTCTGAAGGCAGGTGCAGGCATTCAAAAGTGGAATACTCTTGTCCACATAACTTCTTATCCTTCAGGGTAGAGATTGAGCAACTGTTAAAACTATTATTATTACATTAATCAAGATGTTCTCCACGACTACTTTTTTCCTTCTCCTAACCCGTATTATACTGCAGTATCTCAATTAACCACCAGGTGGCATCATTAATTAGAGGGTGTTCAACAGGGGCTCATTAGCCAAACTGCCCTAAAACACCAAAATGCACAAAGACTTGAAGACACAGAATGTAATACAGTGAGGTTAAGCAAGAGGATGGGGGACAAAAATATAGAAAATAATCAAGTGGGTCCAAAACTCTAGAAAAATATAAAAATACCTGGCTCTGAAATCTCTCGTTAATCCTGGTGTACAGACAATATTCTTTATTGTAATTATTTTTCCAGCCAGATCACAGTTTCCCTTCCCTTCCTCCTCTCCTCCAAATCCCTCCACCCAACCTTCCCTCTCCTCCCCCCCCCCACTCCTCTTCTTTGTCTTCAGAAAAGGGCAGGCCTTCCTTGTGGATCAGTCAGCCATGGCATATCAAAGTTGAGGTAAAACTAGGCATCTTCTCTCCTATTAAGGCTGAAACAAGCAACTCAGTAGGAGGAAAGGGTCCCAAAAGAAGGTAACAGAATCAGAGACAGTCCCTGCTCCCACTGTCAGGAGTCCCGCACAACCATGTAACGACCAATGTACACAGCTGTCACATACTTGTAGAGGCCCTAGGTCAGTCCCATGCAAGCTCTCTGGTTGTCAGAGACAATATTCTTAAGAACTACCATGAAGATGTTCTAGGAATCTTTGCGGAGTGAATCAAGAGCAGAGTTTTGCACATTAGCAACCAGAAAAATACGTGGAAACAAGTGGGGGGGCAGTGCTTGGTGCTAAGGTCTCACACAGAGCAGAGGTGTTATTGGGGTCTCAGTTGTCCCTCTTATTAGGTGTTCTACAAATTCACTTTGACAAATCAGGGGTAATTCCAAATTGAAGAGGTTTCTCAAAATCCAATGAGGCTTTTCTCTTTTGCTCTTTGAGTTTGGGGCTTTGTTGACAGTGAACAATTCACTGAGGAGGATACCCTTCCATGATGCTCTGGGTGAAAATCCAGATAATCACTTCACATTTCAGTTTTTAGGTTTTATTTCTCTAACTGCTGAGAGAATGTGCGCAACACTGCCCAGCCTCTGTTCTCCTGGGCATGATCCCATATCTTCTTGCATGCCTGCTATTGCCCACTGGCTTCTCCCAGCCTGCACAGGATGGTGACTGGCAAATAAGCGAAGCAAACATTGTCCTTGTGGCTGATAGACTGCAGGGTTGTAATTCTAGAGGAGGGAAGCGGGAAACAGAGACTGAGTTTGGGGTGATAGTTAGCTAAAAAGTGGCCTGAAAAGCAAGTAAATGCAGGCCCCTTACAGAAGCAGTTCTGTGTGGGTATTCTCAGCCCTGGCTGCATGTAACAGCCCTTTGAAGTAAATAGGGGTCACAGAATGAGTACCAAGATGTTTATTCTAAAAGCCTCCTGTCTGATTTCCTCCCAAAACCCACCCTTGCCCTTGAACTCCGGGCCTATGGGTAAAGAAAATAATCAGGGTTTTGAACTTGAAAAGAAAAAAAAGGGCTTGGAAGCCTGTGTCTGAAAGGACCTCTAACCTACTCCCAAAGAAAGACACAATGCAGACTCGCCTTGCAAAGGACCAAAGTCAACTCTTAATTCATGGCTTGTGGTACCCACTCAGGGGGACGAAGGGAGGGAATCAATGGGCTTTCCTTGACACTCTCCAGAAGTTACTACAAAACTCCACTTCCTCAACCTCACAAGCAAAATAGCCTTTACCTAGACTAGGACAAAATGGACTCAGCCCAAAGGAATTATACTGTAGGACAGGAAGTCTTCATTTTCAAGGGGGTGATTTCTCTCTGATGTTCTATATTCAAACTATGGATGCTTGTGACTGACTGCATGAAATTTCTCCGTTAATGAAAGGAAATTGGGGTTGGGGACACTTTGTTCAAATAAGGCCTTTGCTTTGTTTCCTTGTCTGATCGTTGTGGTGAATCCATCACAGCTGTGATATTGCTGGTGTTGCTGCACTTGTTTTTAGGGATACAGCTTACTCATCCTCAATGCATTAAGGGACTGGCCATCCTTCCTGTTGCCGAGGCTCCTTGGCTTTACATCCAGCTGTCAGTATGTGCAGGCTCTCTGCTAAGTCCCTAAGACAGTGCACTTTAAGAAAAGTGTATCCTTCATTGCTTTCTCTTGGGGGACTCACTCCCTTTGAACAAGTAAGAATAATATACACAAAACCCTTTAAATCCCCAAATAGCAAAGATCATGGAAAGTTCCACAGTGTAAGCAGGAGAGCTGTTCTCTGTGCCTTCCAACACTCACTCCGTCTCATACTGAGGCTATTCTTCACTGGTTTTGAAGTGGCGATAAGCATATTGTTAAAGGAGGAGATTCCTGAACCAGAAGCATTGAGTCCAAATCCTTACCTTTCCAACCTTTGTGAAGAATTTTCAGGGTGTCTGTGACTCAATTATTCTATTATAAAATTTGTATTAAAAAGCACTGTCTGCCTCAGAGTTGTAAGTGAATTAACATCTTGTGGATGTTGGCTATGGTGTCAGCTTCTGGCCCCATTTTCTCCTCTGAGTCATTCAATAGCTCATCAAGTTCATGGTTTCCTTTCTTCCAAAGTCTATCTGTCTTATTGTAGGTGGCAGTGGTTAGGTTAGGCTTGGTTTGGTTTGATTTGGTTTGGTTTCCCTCCTACTGTCACTATCCCTCGTGAGACAGAGGAAGAAACAAGCTGATATCATTGGTTTGGGCTCTTGAAGCTACCCATACACAGGTAATTTAACCTCAGATCATTACCTTTGTAAATCAGCAAACTGAAATAACAAGTTTTATGTTGTGGTACTTGCCTCCACCTCACAAATGCTTCCTGTTCTACACATCTTTAAATTGACAACCCTAACCCAACCCAACAACTGCATTAGATACTATAATGTAGTTATTTTAAGATATGAGTATATATCTTATGAGTAGATATATATATATATATATATATATATATATATATACTCATAATGACTCTCAGGTAGATAAGGTAGGTATCACTGTTAAGTCACTTTGCAAAGAAGAAAACTGACATAGTAAAGTTAGTTATTTGTGCATACCCACACAGCAGTCAGTAACAAAGCCAAGATTCGGACCAAGCAATTAAGTTCCAGAACTTATGCTTCAACTCTGGGATGTACTAACCCTCTAGGAAACAACTCTTTGTCCCCAAACCACTATCTTCTCTCTCTACTCCTCTGTTCTCTGCTCATGAAGTTCACCGTTAATCCGATATATCTGCTCTGCATTCCTCCAAATCCATCCATCTACTGTGCCCAGATCCCCTCTTGAATCACTCCTCCATAGACACAGGAACCTATAAGCCTCCATTGTCCTGCCTATGACTCAGTGACTGTCCCCTCTTTGCCATCCCTAGAAGCCGTGGGAAAGTACTTAATCTCAACAGAGGATGAAAAACCATATTGCCCTTTACCATATGGCAAAACACAAACTCTGAAGGATCCTTTATCTGTAACTCTTGGGAAATCACCAAAGATCTCTCTTTGACGGGCTCCAGATCCCCCAGAGCAAATTTCCTTAAATACTATGTAGCTGACACTTCAAGGCCTGCCATGTCATCTCCACTCTTCCAGAGAAGGGAACACACTCCCAACTATTTCTATATGATTCAGTAAAAGAAGAGTCCAAGATATCAAACCAGAATATGATCTCAGTCCTCCTGCCTCCTAGATTCACACATGAATTCAGGACATAACCCATCACAGATCTTTAGTACACTTGCTGGAAGGAAAAGGAGAAGGGAAGAGGGAGAGAAGAAAAATAAAAAGAAGGAGGAATTGAAAGGAAGAGGTAAATACTTGTAAATAAATAGAAAAATAATTTAAATAATAATTTAAAGTTTTAAAGGGGAAACTAGAATGAAATGAAGGTAAAAGAAAGAATCTAGAAGTAAAGGAAGAAAGGAAACAAACCATTTGCAGTGCTGAGCCCAAGTGCCCAAAGCCTTTTGAGGTGGGCTCAGAACCAGTGTCTCTTCAAAGGAAGTATCTCTTCTTCTGAAAGCAGGGCACAAGCCCAGGCTCACTGACTGCTTGAAGAAAAGACCAGAAAAGAGTACAATGTTACTCGTACTGTCAGGATGGCCAGCGGTCTAAGGTACTGTGTTAAGAGTACAACGTTGGTGAGGACCAGGAGTGGAAGAATGGCCTTTGTTTTCTGGGGCAGTTTGTCTCTGTACCTTCCATATCTTCTGTCTTTTCAAGTTTTCATTTCTTCTTCATCTGTCTTCATGCATCAAAGCTTCTTAGACCCTGCCTCCCCACTGGTGCATCCCCTGACTGCTCTTCTTAGCAGCACCCTCTCTTTCCTCTGCATCTTACAGTCTATTACATGCATTCTTCCTCGTGTTCTGTTAGTTTTCATGGCACAATTGCTAATATTCTCAAGGAACAAAAGAACCAGATTTTGTATCACCTGCCATTCCTGAGCATTTGCTCTTGGACAAGGCAGATATTTCAGAAATCGTGTTTCCTTTGCATGCCCAGTTTTTGCCTTATAAGCTGACTCTAAATATGTAGCTCCCTAACTCTTTTGTACAGTTTCTAGATTTTGATGGAAAAGACTGAGAAAAGGGGAAAGCAAACTAAGTAGTTGAATATTACACAGAGTGGTTGAGAGTTAGACAGACCACTGTCATCTTTTGAGGACCTGAGCAAATGCTTTGCTGTGATGCACAGAGAACAAGTTCTGAGAGCTATTTGGGTCCTGCTTTTATTTTAGGAACTTGTGGATTATGTTCGGATTCACTCACACAGTGCTGCTTATGGAACATCCATGAGTCCCGTAGTAGCAGCACAAATCATCAGATCATTGAGGCTTATTACTGGAGAAGATGGGAACCTTGGAGGTAAGGGATCTACAGAGAACTCAGCTTCTGCCTATCAATCTCCCACTTTCTCAAGTGTACACTCTTGTCTCATGAAGCCCAGTTTTTTAGTCAAGTCAAGTGATGAGCATACTAGAACTACTATCATAACACACACACACACACACACACACACACACACACACACACCACAAATCCTTTGCTAAAACACCTACATACAGTCTTCAGCAACAGGTTAATATGATCATCCATTTTGGACCATTTTTGCATGATCAGTGGTTAAAATGAAGTAAGCAATGTCTCTGTGTATATGTATGTTTGTATACGCATATGTGTGTGCTTTTGTGTGTATGTGTGTGTCTATGTGTGTTTGCCTATGCTTGCTTAGTGTCTCTTGTGCTTCTCTGAGATGAATGTCATTAGTATAATATTTTTATGTTTTAGTGCCAGAAATTAGGCAAAGGAAAACCATCACACTGGCCATTTGAGGATATATAAACTCACAATATGAGCCCAGTAACTCACATTTGTCTCTGTCATTTCAGCTACTTTGCTTAACCCAAATGAACTTAACCTTCTCTTTGGAGAATTGTTTCATTGAAGCCTCAGATAATTCTCATTCCATCTTTCAGATCTAGTGTCCAAAGGTTCTACTACATGTTATGATAATAAAACAGTTCTTGCTGCCAGGGAGTACAAGTGAGAAACAGCAAATTATACTGACTTAAGTCAGTATAATTGGCCACAAGGCTACACAATCCTTCCGTTTCATCCTACACAAAACCCTGTATTGTTACTGCAACCTTCTAGGCCCATGTAATAGGATTTCTGGCAATATCTATCATTAGCAACATTAAGCAAGAATACTTATATAAATGCTTTACCAAAACAAAAAGAAAAGAAAAAGAAAAAACAACAACAAAAATCCTACTGCAAACTGAGCATTCACCCCAGTCTGAAACCGGAATACTCTGCAATCTGAAACTTTCTAAGCACTGACATGAGGCTCTACACTTGCCCTTATATTTACAGAACAATCAAAATGCAGGTACACTAAAAATATTCTGTACAATTATCTGTGGGTGCAAGGCATAGCAGTAAGTGCCTGTGACCTCTGCCCTCAGGTGGCAGGTGGATTGTTTGAGGACAACAACCTGGACTGCAGAATGACTTCAGAAAAAAATCTATTTAAAAAAATCCTGCTGACAATATGTATATGAAATACCAAAATAAATCACAAAATAAATTTTGTGATTAGACATGGGGCCATTCTCAAGATATCTCATGACACATATGCAAATATTCTCAAAAAATCTAAAATCTAAAGCCTTTTTGGCCCAAGGCATTTGTCAGTAACAGCCTGTATCTTTTATGTAAAGCAGATAAGAATGAAACTGGTGAGTTGAAGTAGGGCCTCCACTCACCTCCACACTGACAGCCACTGAGGCCCTTCCAGTGAGCTTTCCTGCTTGCCAGAATATTGAAAAAAAAATGTAACATGGAGTTTGTTCTATCACTGGAAAAAGCTGGAAAGTGACCCACAAGATGCTTTCTTTTCTATCATATAAAATAAAGCGACTGGTGGAATGCTGGGATCTTTTTAAGATTGCCTTTTGTATATCTTGACTGAATTGTATTGAAAGCCTGAGAACCCCATCTGGGGAGTCCTGAGGATGCAAACAGGAGGTAGCTGCTGGGATTTGATTCTTGTGCTGCTACTTATCATCATATGACATTCTGCATGTGAATGGGGCATCCAACCCTGAGCAGGTGATTTAGCTTTTCTTTGCTTCAGTTCCTCCAGCTGTGAAATGTGTGTAATAACATCTAAGCATCTATGTTTTATGACAGTTAGGTAAGTTAATCCATATAAAATACTGGGGAATGTCTGGAAACAATCATGAATTTTATATAATTGCATGCTGTTGTTTGCTATTGTTCCTGAGACGTTCAAGAAGTATGTGAAAACTCGCTGATTCTGTAGAAACCTCCTAGGAAAGAAATAAAGAAGGACTGGATGTCCTCCCAGGTCTTGAACTAGTCATGATGAGCAAGATTAGACTACTATAACAAACCCTCAAAAAACTTGTTGCCTTAACAAAATCAAGGCTTATTTCTTTTATTGTTGGTGGTGATATTGTTTTGTGTGCCTGTTTTTTTGTTTTTTTTTTAAGTATTCTTTGACAAACAATAATGGGCTCTCAACCATGTGAGAGGCTAATTTCCTGCTCCCAATGGTCATTAGTTGCCCGCAGTTCTTTTTCTAGGGATAGGACATCATGAAATTCTCCCCTGCCACATTAACAGGTCCTCATATTCTTAATATGGCAACTAACATACTTTACCTCATATGTCTTGCCATCTTAAGAATTAAAAGAAAACAGAATGTTGTGTGTCAAAAAAGATACAGGAGGAGATATGACAGTTTTTTGTTTTGTTTTTGTGGGAGTTTTTTGGTTGGTTTTTTTCCAAATAAATGAACAAAGAAAAGTGGTTCCTTTTACAGAATCATCAACCAAGTTTCAGGTAACGCTGCCTGGCACATCTCTTGAAGAACTCAAAGGAACTCTGGGAATGATCACATTGACCTCATTTATTACAATGCCAACTCAAATGAATAGGCTAAGTGAGAATACTGCATTAGCTTGGCCTTCTCTACAAAGATATACTGAGAATAAAGTTGCCCAAATCTCCAAGAGATGCCTCATGTGAGTTCTGATACACAGAGTCTGAGAAAGAGGAGCCTGGCTCCAAGCCTTCTTCACCCTACTGCAACTGTGACTGGAGCCTTTCAAGGCTTTGTTACAGGCAAGTTTGGGGAGCGGTTGGCCAGATCTGTTCCTTGATGAATGTCTTCACTTTAATCTGCAATGCAAAGCCATACGCTTCAAAGAGAGGCAAGCTACAGCAATAAGGTCAGTGTTCCTTTGATGCCAAGGTTCAAAGATGAAATAGCAGTCCCAGTGAAATGACAATGTTTATGCACAAACAGCCACCTTCACTCTGCAACCAGGCTGCTGGTAGAGTTAATGCACACAGGCTGAGGGTCTGCAGGCCGGGTGTGCATTCCATATGCACCAAGACCCGTTTAATCTCCTAGCCTGTCACTCTGTGCAGTACACTGAGCCCAATGTAAAGATTTGATTTCTCCATCCTAATGGTTGTTGGGTGGTCTCCCAGCTAAACCAATGCTGTAAGCCCCTTAAGGGCAAGAAATGTGTCTTGAATTAATTTTGTGTTCCTCTGAGTGTCAAACTCGGTGCTCAGCTTAATAAATACGTCATGACTCAACTTCCATCTTGCCAGCCTTCTGGATTTCAGGTCAGTGTTTATGCTAAATAAGATTGCGGGGATGTTTATCTCAGAGGACTATGAGCCAGAATGTGGTCCACACCAGTGTGGCACCTGAAGAGACCCTTCAGTGAAGGGGATGGCTTTTGGAGAACTCCAGAAAGATTACAGTTCTGTCATTGGCTTAGTGTAACTGTCAAGCAAGCAGCCACAAGGGATTGAGCCCCAAACCACACCAGCAGCATCCCTACAGAGAACAATGTCATCTATTGCCTTGTTTTATTTAGATTTTTAATGAACTTTTTTCAGTTATTTAGCGAGTCTTTTTCAACTCCCAATCTTGACTATTCATCTCTGAACCCTCTTTCCCCAACTGTGGGCAATCTTTTACTTCTCACAGAAAGAAAATGGAGATGGAATTGTGCAAATGATTAAGAGGCATCCTCTGCAACCAGATCATATGTGGCCCAGTGTCCGACTTGTTCCCTCTCTTAATTCAGTCCCTCCACTGAAAACCAGTATAGTGGAACAACTAAGTGATATGGTATAGACAGTGGATATTGCTTGGGGGTGATGTACAATAAGAACTTAACAAAGGTACTATGACTTTTAAGTTATCTGCTTTCTTCCCTTCCTTCGCAAATATTTTCAGTAGCTTTTACCCACCTTGGAATACTCCCCTGTTCTAAGACTTTATGACTACTCTTCCCCAGAGTAGTTATCCTGCATCCTACAGCACTTGCTTAAAAATATTTCTATAATCTGGTCACCTCTCAAACTCTATCCCTCTGGACAGCTGGAATAGCTTTCTGAATAGTCTGCCCACTTCTGTCTTTCTTTTTTGATCTGTCCTCTGTACAGAAGGCCAAGTCATCCTTTTTAGCATTTATTTTACCTGCACAAACTTAAAGGATATGGTGTAATGATTTAACACAGGAATACAGTGTGAGAGATAGTCAAATCGGGGCTGTTAGCATTTCCATTTCTTTGTACATCTTAAAATATTTGAGTAGCATTTAATAATTCTGTATTTCTGGGACACAGAGTAACATTTTGATGTATGTGTACAATATGCTGAGAAAATTGGGGTAGTTAGCATTTCTACCTCTTTAACATTTTTTTTGCATTTGGAGTTTTTGAACTCCTGTTTCCTAGTTATTCATAAAATAAATAATAGGGCATTATGGACTGTAACCCCACTGTTCTTTAGAACAATAGAATTTATTCTATCTGTGACTGAATAACTGTTATCCATCCTCTTGCATCCCTTCTTACTCAACCCTTCCCAGTGTCTAATAAACCTATCCTATGTTCTTTCTGTCATTGTTAAGTACCATCTATATGAGAGAAACACCAAATAGTAAAAAAGAGAAAACATAACACATACATGCCTCTCCCCAACTCCATCAGCTTCCCACTCGATATGAGGTCCAATGACCCACAGGCTTTCAAGACTTCTCCCTCACATTTCTCAGACTCTTCCTATTGCTCAGTACAGCTCTGGGATTCATAAACACTCAAAGAAACTTCCAAAGAAAGGCCTTTGCACTTTCTGGTCTCTCTAGAATGGCTCTTCTTTGTCTCCATTGTTCCCTCCCTTCTCTCCCACCCATCTCTGCTCAGAGTTGGTCTTCTGAAGGAGCTGCCCCATCCTACGTAGCCCAGCCTCCATATCCCTAATTCTCTTCATTTTGGTTTTCACAGCTTTCATGACTATTCTTTCTTTTCTC